CACACACACACACACACACACACACACACACACACACACACACACACTCCAGGTACCTGGAACACAGCTGCCAGTTCAAACAGATCTAAATCAGAGTTGCCTAAATGCTTATGGAGAGACTCTGCTGGCTCCCTCATTCTCCACCGGAGAGCAAGTGTCTGCACAGCGACCCTGGTTCAGCTGGCCCACCTGGGACCTCCTACCAGCAAAGGACAAGGGGAGACCAGCCTGTGCCCTGTCCCTCCCACCTGGGACCTGTTAGGGGAAACCCGTTGCGGGCCAGGTCCTTTGTACCAATAACCTGGTTATCTTCATCATCCCCCAGGAACACCCAGCATCTCATGAGTTCCTCAGTACCCAGCCCTGTACCAGACCCGGAGCTTCTCCCGACAGCCCTGCTGGAGAGGCGGGATTAGCCCCACTCGACAGTGCAGGAAACTGAGCTGCAGAGCGGGAGCATAACTTGGCCAAGACACCATAGGCAGCCAGTCCAGCAGAGGGCATTCAGCTCCTGACCTCTAGCTAGCCCCCTCTCATCACCGTCGTCAGCTTCCAGGGAGATAGATCTCAGGGCTCACTTTCAGCTCGGCCCGGGCCTCAGACAACCAAAGTAGGGAGCTGCATTTCCTGGCAAGTTGGGTCACGAGGAATCCTTTCTAAACACCGGGCCTGAGGAAGATGCCAAAACGGTCCCTTCAGACTTTGGTCTCCTGAGGACCTTGTCACACGTCTCCCCTTGCCCAGCCAGCACCGGGGGCCCCCCCACCCCCTTACCTGAATCAGGGAAAGCTGAGCGGGCTGAGTGGCTGCAGCAGCAGGATCTGAGTGTCTGTCTGTCTGCAGACACTGTGCTATCTGGAAATTGCAGAAATGAGGAAACAGAGTGCACCACTGCCAAGTCACCCCCAGGGCGGAAATGCTGTGACCCTGGGGCTCCTCCAACGGGTGGCACAAAAACCTCCAAGCTGGGTGGCTGGGCCCTGACCACTGCTCAGAGGGTTCTCCCGGAGCCAGGGGCAGGCTGGGGCGTGGGAAGGGGCCAGCGAGTCGGGGAGCTGGGGTACAAGAGACAGAGCAGAAAGGGAAAGGGTGCACTCCAGGAGAGAGAGACTGAGCACGAGAGCCAGGAAGAGAGAAGAGGGATGAGGGACTGAGAAAACCAGAATAGCGGGGGGGGGGGGGGGGGGGGGGGGGGGGGGGGCAGTCAGGAAACAGTGAGAGATGGACGGAGAAAGGCACACAGAGAAAGACAGATGTAAAGACAGACAGAGAGCATGAGAGGAATGAGGAGACAGGAGGCCCAGACACCAAGGAAATTAGAAGAGAACGCGATGAGGTGGTGAGTGTGCGCCTGGTGTGCATGTCTGTGTAGGGGCATGAGAGAAAAAATGAAAGAAAGGGACACAGAGAGGAGAGAGAGGGGAGGGAGAGACAGCGAGAGCATGAAAAGGATGAGAAGAAGGGGCGCCTGCGTGGCTCAGTGGGTGAAGCGTGGGCCTTCGGCTCAGATCACGGTCCCAGGGTCCTGGGATCGAGCCCCGCGTCGGGCTCCCTGCTCAGTGCGGAGCCTGCTTCTCCCTCTGCCTCCCCCCACTTGTGCTCATGCTCTCTCTCTCTCTCTCTCAAATAAATAAATAAAATCTTAAAAAAAGAAAAGGATGAGGGGCGCCTGGGTGGCTCAGTCGTTAAGCGTCTGCCGTCGGCTCAGGTCACGGTCCCGGGGTCCTGGGATCGAGCCCCGCCTGGGCTCCCTGCTCCGCGGGAAGCCTGCTTCTCCCTCCCCCACTCCCCCTGCTTGTGTTCCCTCTCTCGCTGTGTCTTTGTCAAATAAATAAAATCTTTAAAAAATTAAACAAATAAAGTTAAACTGCTTTAAAAAAGAAAGAAAGAAAGAAAAAGATGAGGAGGAGCTCAGAAGAGCCGCTGTGGTCAGCGAGGTGACTGGGCCGGGCAGCCCTGGTCACCCGGAAGCACGGAGCCCGGGTGGGAGAGCCCACGCGGGAGCGCGGGGCGTATGAGTCCGCCGGAATGGTAGGTGTGGGCAACCGACGGGGGGGCGGGGGGGGAACGCAGGTGGGTTTGTGAATGTGAGTGAGTGCGTGTGCGAGAAAGTCAGTTGGCGGGAGGCTTTGCGTGTACCTAAGCGACCGACGGGCCAGGCCTCCCTGCTTCAGCTTCCAGTCATTCCACGAGGAAACATTTATTAAGCACCACCAGGCACCAAGCACTGTAGTCAACACTGCCTACGAAAGCAAGGTGTCCACATATCAGCCAGTCCGACACCCTTCTACACAGAGAGGGGAGCGGGTCTAGCAGGTCCCAACGCCAGGCACGAAGCAGAGCCAGGAGTAGAGGCTCCTGACCACCCCCACCCCCACCCCTTCAGGGTCCAGCCTCAGCTCTGCCCTGCTTGTCTGGGCTAACCTTCTCCTGCTGAATGGGACCCCACTCCTGACAAAAATGGATCTCAAAGGGAAAATCACTTTTTTTTTTTTTTTTTAAAGTAGGCTCCATATCCAGCATGGAGCCCAACACGGGGCTTGAACTCACAACTCTGAGATCAAGACCTGAGCTGAGAGCAAGAGTTAGGTGTCCACCTAACTGACCGAGCCACGCAGGCATCCCCAAATCACTTTTAACATGTGCCTCAGCCCTGAAGAGCTAGGGCCAACATTCTGCCCCTGCCCCAGCTCCACCCCCATCACACACAGGCAGACATGTTCGAACCTCTTAGATGTATAACCCTTGCATGGCCACATACACTCAATGCACAGTATCATGCAAACACACCCACTCACAATCACATCCCTCCACTCACATGTACACTCACACACTCAAGTGCCCAAATCTGTCACCCCTTACTCACATCCGCCCAGTCACCTCCTTCCTCCTGCCCATTCACTCACACTTTTCCACACTCACACACCACACCACACACACTCTCCTCACATCCCAACATGCAGCCCAGGCCTCCTGTGAGGGACTTCGAAGAGGCCTGGTTTGGTCATCCCTCCCCAGCTCCCTTAGAGGCATCTTGAGCCTTGAGTGCCCTGAGACACAAGAGAACATGGTCTATTGACCTCCAACTGAAAAGCCAAGGCCCTAGGTCTGTTCCCCAACTCGGATCCTCTTTCCCCATATTGGCTTCACCTTCTCAGCCACCCTCCAGGCACCACACTCTATGAGAGGCATCAGCCTGGAGGGACCCCCGGGATCCACCAGTCCTCATTTGACCACAGACGCCAAGGACACTTGTCTCAAACCCAGGACTATTGCGCTCAGTAGTCCTTTACACATGTTCTTGGAGTAGGGGTGTTTCGGTACCCCTTTTGAGATAATCAACAAGCAAGGTAGTTAGGCAGAGATTATCAACATTTTACTCCTCCTTTCTGTCACACCACATCCATTCTGTTAGCCAATTCGGTCAGTTCTACTCTAAAATATATCTAAATCCGTGTCTGATCAAGCTTTGAGGGAAACTAGGTATGGGTACTTGGGACCTCTGTGTACTATCTTTTTTTTTTCTTTTAAGTAATCTCTACATCCAACGTGGGCCTCGAACTCACAACCCCAAGATCAAGAGTCAGGCACCCCTTCAGTGTGCCGTCTTTGCAACTTCCCATGAATCTATGATTATTTCAGAATAAAGGACTAAAAAATAACTAAAAATTCACACCCACACAAGAACACAGTGGAAAGGGACTCAAGAAGAATGAGTACAAGGAATAATAAAAGTGCTAACCATAATAGGGGCACCTGGGTGGCTCAGTCGTTAAGCGTCTGACTTCGGTTCAGGTCATGGTCCCAGGGTCCTGGGATCGAGCCCCGCATCGAGCCCACATCGAGCCCCACATCAAGCCGCACGTCGAGCCCTGCATCGGGCTCCCTGCCCCACACCCAAATCACACCATGACCTATGAAACAGTATTGCCAAGGAAATAGAATCAACAAGTTCAACCACCAGTTTACAGGAAATATAGCAGAGGAGTAGATCATAGGGATACACTCAGCAGATTCAGCCAAGAGAAAATGCACAAGACAAACAATCTGGTTTCTTCAACAAATAAATTTTAAGGGAGAAGAAGGATGATGGAAAAACCTATGGATCAAACGAGAATTAAGAGATAGAGCAACCAGTTGCTACATATGAGCCTCTTTTAGATCTTGATTCAAACAAACTGTAAAAGAGAGAGAGAGAGGGACAAAGCGAGAAAGAGAGGAAGGAAGGAAGAAAAGAAAGAGAGAGAGAGAGGGACAAAGGAAGAAAGAAAGAAAGAAAGAAAGAAAGAAAGAAAGAAAGAAAGAAAGAAAGAAAGGAAGGAAGGAAGGAAGGAAGGAAGGAAGGAAGGAAGGAAG